TATGTGAATTTTTTATCATGCAACAGAAGATTAGGGTTAAATGTAGATGTAATAAAGAAACACTCTAGACGTACTGGCCATGTGGTAAAAATGACAATAACTTTTATACTTTTTGTGTTTGACCTTTGAGTCATTATAATATGAAAACAAAAGTAGTTGTCTTTGTAATTTTTCTTATGATTATTTACTTTAAAACTATTTACTGGTTACTAGTTACTGATGGTTAGCGATACCTATATTATAGAAAAAATCTAAATTTGAAAGATTAACAAAAATCAAACAAATAATCCTGAAACTGAACCTGGCATGGAACGAATCCAACAACAAAAAATGTCAAGTTTGACAATCCTCAATATATGATTTTAAATAAAGAAAATATAAACAAACGCAGATGCAGATGTAGTAGATGTGAATAAACAAATAATAATGCTCCAGAGGTAAAAAATACACCAGTCCATTACATCATCGGAACTATTCATCCAATAAAACCTTTCCCGAACTCTCTAAAGGGTTTTCCTAACACCGAGATGTCCTCCTGATGGACCGTCGTGTAACTGACGAAGTACTTCGGCTACTCTACTCCTTGGAACGACCAACTGTCTTCTGTTCTCGGAACCATCATCATTTTCAAGTACTCGCTTTAATAAGCCATCTTCCAGGATAAAGGAGTCCCACTGAGCCAAATAAGACTTAAGTACTGGAGATAGATTAGATACTTCTTGCCAAGTGGGTCGACGATTTTCCTCTTTCCATTATCGCATCTTCTTTAGGACGGTATCGTTCTCTTGTTCTTCCCTAATTTTAGCAGGGGCCCACTCAGCGTTGACTACCGTTGTTCTTATTAGTCCATTTTCTTTGGCTTCCGCTTTGTTGCAGTGAGAGCACTCTGCTAGACACGGTCTTCTAGAAAGAGAATCGGCATTTCTGTGGCTAATTCCGGCTCTCTGTTCGATCTTAAAGGCGTACTCCTGAAGTAGCTCAATCCATCTTCTAAGTTCTTTAGAAGTTCATCAAATGTTTTCCCCAAGACTATTATGTCGTCTAAATAAACCAGGCATGTTTTTCAGGATAACCTTCTCAATACGTTTTCCATAAGTCTTTTAAATGTCGCGGGAAAATTACATAATCCAAATGGCATAACATTGAATTGCCACAATCCAGATCCGGTGGTAAAAGCTGTCTTTTCTTTGTCTACTGGGTCCATTTCTACCTGCCAGTATCCAGATTTCAAGTCTAAGGTAGAGAATAGTTTACTTCCGGCCAATGTGTCTAAGGTATCGTCGATACGAGGCAGAGGGTAACTGTCTTTCTTGGTAACATTATTCAACTGATGGTAATCCACACAGAACCTCGTAGTTCCATCCTTTTTCTGGACCAGCACAACCGGAGAGACCCTCTCTCTTGGCCTTTGGTAATCTTCGAGCCGACTGTCGAATCGGCCTGGCGTCACCAGTGTCAATTTTGTGATTTACAACAGAAGTTCTTCCTGTTTTTCCTCCTTTTGGTACAAAAATGTCACGATATCGTCGAAGAAATTCCTTTATTTTCTTCTTCTCTGATTGATTCAGAGATTGACCAGCAACTGCAATCATTTGCTCGAATTTGTCATTGGAATTATCAGAAGTTGTTGTCTGACGAATTATGGACGTTACTGGTAAACAAGTTCCGATTCTGGTCTCTTTCTTGATGGTAATCGGGTGATCATTAACGTTTATGAGATGGACTGGAATTTCTTTAGCAGTCGTGACCAACCCCTTTCCGATCAGAATGCCTCGTCCAACCACTTCATCGTGGTTTCAAGGTTCCATCATTACAGGTGCTCCTTCTTCCATAGTTTCTTGAAGCCGTGCTACTATAACGGTTTCACTTCTGCCAGGTACCACCGTATCCTCCTGTACAGCAACTGGCACGATACTGTCTTCATATGGATGTAGGAATACCTCTTCGGCACCAACTTTAATCACTCTGTTTTTAAAGTCCAACTGGAAACCATGTAAGTTCATTACATCCATTCCAAGAATCACATCTTCTTCAATATCAGCGACAATAACAGTACGAGTGAACTTTTCTGTACCAATTCCAAATTGAACCTGGATTTCCCCATGGATGTTGGCACTTTCACCTGTGGCAGTCCGCAGTCGCAATCTTGTTGGTAGAAGTCTCTTACAGTTCTTTATAGTTGTTGGTCGTATAATGGTTTTAGTTGCTCCAGTATCCACCAACAGTGTATACTTCTTACCATATACTTCTTACCATTTACTTCGCCGTCTACGTATACACTATCATCGCGACATTTCAAAGAGGCTATTAGTACGAGGGAGTCTTTGGAGTTTTCCTGCGGCGTGTTGTCTTCAGTTGTTGGGACCCTAGGGCGTTTGCACGAACTGCGTACATGCCCCAGTTTACCACAATTCCAGCATCTGTTGGTCTTTTTCTTCATATTTTTATCAGTAAAGGTCTTCATTATGTTAACTAGTTGGTCGAGTTTATCTTCTACGTTTTCTTCTTTTACAGTTCTCACTTTACTGTATCCTCCAGAAGCCTGCGTAGCTGTCTCATACTCTAAAGCAGTGGACAAGACACCGACCAATGTTTTGTGGCGGGCTAAGCGAAGTGTTTTCTGCATCTCGTGGTCACGGAGTCCATCAACAAATGTTTGGATTGCTAAACATTCCATCATGTTTTCCGGAGCTGATGGGTAGGCAAATCGCACCAATCTGGCAATATCTACTTCATACTCTTGAAGGGTCTCGTCTCGTTTCTGTTTGCGATTCTTTAACTGTGACTGGTATAATGCTCCAAGTGTTCGTGGCCATATCGCATGTTAAGTCTCTTTTTCAGTTGTTCAAAATCATCTGTCTCTTCCACGGGTATAGTCTGAAGGACATCTAAAGCGTCTCATCGAAGGGCGATTGTCAGATTCACTGCCTTTTCTCTCTCAGACCACTCGTTTGCTCTGGCAGCTGTTTCGAACTGCTTAAGGTAGTTCATCCATGACATCTTTCCGTCGAAAGTTGGGGCTTTGATATGAGCAGAGTTTACAGCTCCTTCCAATTTTAACTTCGACTCCACCTCATGACACTTTATTTCACCGTCCTTGGTCGGGTCTGAATGTTCCAGTTCTTCTGTCTTCTTTTCGTTCTCTTTTATTTTCTCTTCAACGGAAGACATTATTTTCTCCTCAACGAAAGTCGTCTTATTTTCCACATCAGCAGAAATTTCGTTTTTCATGGAAGTCATATCAGAAGAGAATTCATCTTTTAAAGAATACATTTCGAAAGACACTTTTTCTTCTAAGGAAGTAATATCAGAAGAAACTTTACTTTCCATGGAAGAAACTTTAGTTTCTAATGAGGAAATATTAGAAGAAATATCGGTTTTCATAGAAGACATTTTACTTTCCATATCGGAAGAAATTGAAGAAATTATAGCAGATGCATCATCCGAAAATAAAAATGTTTCCGGATCCAAACCTTCATTTTCTAGTGCTTTTTTAAGTCGTTCTGCCAGCTCTGATTTCTTCCCTGCCGTCTCCAGTTCACGTTCTTCTAATTCTCGACGTAGCTCAGGCACTTTTAAATCACACAGTCTTTTAGCCATTATTGTCCACTATTTATTTATAGTTTCACTTCTAACACCAATGTAACGAAAGTCTAATTTATTTAAAGTTTATTTATTTAAAGTTTATTTATTTAAAAACACACTATTTATAATTTATTTCAGACGTACTATTTAATTTATATAATATTCGAACACTAACAATTCTAATTTATTTCTTACACTTTTACTTTTCAATACAACATTCTATATTAAACTTAACTCGGCGCTGATGCGTCGTCTATTTATATTAGTCTAACTCCCCTACTGGAAAATGCTAGAGACTTCGCGAAGATGACTAAACGGCACTATTCCGCCATTCCAGATGTTTCGAGTGAATCGGCGGCAGGCATTCGAGAGCGGTCCGGCTGTTTCCAAACGTCAGCATTGCTTCGGTCACGAGTTGATTGCGTGCGTATACAGGGTCGGCTTAGGAATTCATGACATTATTATAGTTCGACAGTCTACTTGAAAGTTTATGAAAGATTCTAAATATATTATTTTCTGAGTTATTGAAGCGTTAACAACTGATATATTCCCAACAACAACCACAACCACCAAAAAAATAAAAAACACGGTAAAAAGTCCAAAATCGAGAAAATATTATAAAAGACACGTTGCAGCAGGCTATTATCGCACACATGCGTTCGGTCGTTCGTTCGTCCGTCCGTCCGTTCGTTCGTTCGTTCGTTGGTTCGTTCGTTCGTTCGTTCGTTCGTTCGTTCGTTCGTTCGTTCGTTCGTTCGTTCGTTCGTTCGTTCGTTCGTTCGTTCGTTCGTTCGTTCGTTCGTTCGTTCGTTCGTTCGTTCGTTCGTTCGTTCGTTCGTTCGTTCGTTCGTTCGTTCGTTCGTTCGTTCGTTCGTTCGTTCGTTCGTTCGTTCGTTCGTTCGTTCGTTCGTTCGTTCGTTCGTTCGTTCGTTCGTTCGTTCGTTCGTTGGTTCGTTCGTTCGTTGGTTCGTTCGTTGGTTCGTTCGTTCGTTCGTTGCTTCGTTCGTTCACTCGCTCCTTCATCGCTCGTGGCCAAATTTCGACTTCGTGCGGGAAGATGTGGCTTCTGCAACCTGTATTTTAATATACTATTCTATTTCTGACATCTTCTTCTGGATCTAATTTAATGCCTGTCGAATAAAACTTTAAAAAAATACATTCGTTAATACAATATTTTCATGAGTATTTACATCCCAATCTAGTAATATTTCATTACTCAATAGTGATCAACCACAAAAAAATATTTCATAAATTTTCATAATTTTTATTTTAAAACTTCTTATTTTGATTTGATACTTCTTCAAATTTAAAAAGATGCTGATGACAGTAATAATATATAGACGTAATATTTTCAGACTGTATTTGGGATGTAGTAATTACCATTACTGCTGGATTAATTTAGGATATATATATTTTTTAAGGTAAATCAAAATGAGAGTATTCATTGTCTTCGCTGCAGCTCTTTTGGTAGTCAGTGCCCTTCCATCCCAAGATCACTGGACTTTGTTCAAGGTACTTAATTATTTTTTTAAATATTTATCATTTTATTTCAGAGATTTATTTCAGAGATTTATTTCAGAGATTTATTTTACAGATTTATTTTAGAGATTTATTTCAGAGATTTATTTCAGAGAAGTCCATAAAATTTGAATTCTACAAAAATACAGCAATTTTTTCAATTATTTTATGGATTATTTTAAGATTTTACACAAAAAATGATTAAAAAAAATCTAATAATTCTAACTTTAAAAGTTCTATAAATAAAGATTTTATCATGGGTTTAAGCAAACGGTAATTGGCCTTGGTGTTGTGATTGGCCATATTGACTCCAAAACCAAATATTAATTAAACTCTTCTTCTTTTACTTAATTTCATCATTACCAAATATACCTACTACAACTAGTTATTCAGAATACCTAACTTTTTAAGCACTTGCCAACCTCCAGTTAAAAATGTATCCAGACGGTATACATACTGCGTAAAGAATAAGTGAAATTCTTGTAATTTAGTTCAGAGTAACACAAGTAAGCTAATTTTTTGGGCATTTATTAATAATTATGTTGTAAATGTGTTCTGGTGATTTTATATTATATTTATTGTTAATATTAAAGATGTTTCTTTAATATAACCTTTAAAATGTATAAATATTACTGTCAATAACCGTCCAATAAAAATTGACGGGAAAACAGTGATTGGCACCGGGACAAATAACTGCATAGGATGAACCATTTAAAAAACGAGATTTTTTAGAACAAAATGGTATTAAAAAATCCTAATAAATAATAAATGTTATTTTTAAGTCTCTAAACAGTGATTGACCGGGGACCAATGACTGTGATATAGGTGGGCCAATAACTATCTAAGTTAAAATATAGAGTGTCTTATAAATGGACAATTTTACTATTTCAAGCTTTTTGTTAAATAGAAATAAAAAACTTAGAAAAGGTAGAATTTGTCGACACTGTGCTAAGCATTTTTAATTTTTAATTTTATTTATTTATAGAAAAAAATATTCTAAAATATTTTTTTTAATTTGAAAATTTTCGTTGGTGGGTCGTAGAAAAAATATACTGTACAACTTGAGTGGATTGTCCACATCGCACTCAAACGATTGAGTAATTTGTCTTCGTGCGATATGGCCATCATATCAACTCTTGTTGCACAAACTACTTTTTCTTCTCGTTGTATTATTCCCCTTGTCATGTTTCTTTAATAATTAAATTATCATTTTATTAACCTTATAAATTTTTTTTTAACAAATTTTGAATATAATTAAAATAAAAACTGGTATTTTCATTTAAATATTAAAAATGTGTTGCTATTTACAGTTATTTTCAAAAAAACGGAAGCAGGCCATGACGTCACAGACTAACTAAATCCGACATAAGAAATTTTTTGTTCCAAACACTTTAGCAAAACCAAAAATAATTTCAATATCTGAAGAAATAACTAATATTAAAGTTTTATCAATATTTAATTGCTTAGATACGCCACTGGTGTAATTTGAGTGAGTCGCAATGGGAACACATTACAAAGGTAATATTTTCATACCTTCTTCCTTCAACGAGTTATTAGTAAGCTGACAGAATATTAAAAAAAAAAAGATTTATATCTAAAAATGTTTAATAAATTACACTTTAAATAAATATAGGGTGTTTTCATTTAAAAATAAACAAATAAATTGCAATTTACTCTTTCTTTCGAAAAAAATCTGATGTAAGTCATAACTTCACATGATAATATAATCCATCGCAACAAAGTTCTTGTTCTAAGCTTTCAAACAAACAAAAAATCAATTGGATATCTTAAACAATGACTAAGATGAGAGGGTTGGAATTTTTAGGAGGTTTACAATATTGAAAATATTTAGATGCGCCACTGGTGTAATTTGGGTTAGTCTTCACGGAAACACTAAGGCTTAACAAAGAGTTTTTAAAGGTAATTCATTTCAATATATTCTTCTTTAAAACAAGTTATTAGTAAAATATTTAGTAATAGTATTATCCAATATGGCAGACATTTTGACAGCTGACTGCATATTTTCAATAATCGGTTCTTATACAAAAATGTTTAATAAATCAGATTATTTAATAAAAATGTGATTTTCATTTAAAAATTGAAAATGAATTGCGATGCACTATTAGTTTATGAAAAATTGGAAGTACGCCATGACGTCACAAAATAATTGAATACGCTTTAATAAAAAGTTCTTTCTTCAAACTTTTAAACAAAAACAAAAAATAATTTTGAAATATTAATTAATAACAAAGATTAGAGGGGTAGAACATTTAAGAGGCCCACCCTGTACGTACATAAAATTTTCCTTAATAAAAAATTAATTATATTAAAAAAAAATATATCTTTTAGTTGTCAGAAATTGCCAAAAAGTACAAAAACCCGCATCACTATAATGCACCTGCTTTCTGTAATGGCGTCGTTCCATAAAAGTAGTCTTTTAGTATCATCTAAACACCGTAAAAATTATAAAAATCTGTAATAAAATATACTCTTATTTCATTTAAGACCAAACATGAAAAATCTTATGAAAATCTCGATGAAGAAAAAGTCCGTTTCCACATTTTTCAAGACAACGTACAAAAAATCAACGCACACAATGCCCTCTATGAAGCCGGACTTGAAACTTACACCATGGCTGTTAACAAATTCGCTGATTTAACCCCCAAAGAGTTTGAAAATATGCTCAGGCACCAAAACGGTCCAACTATCAAAAAGCACTTGGCTCGCCATGTCCAAAACCTCACTGCTCCAGACTCCATCGACTGGAGAACGAAGAACGCCGTTTTAGAAGTAAAGGACCAAGGAAAGTGCGGATCCTGCTGGGCTTTCAGTGCAGTAAGTTAAAATTTTATTATACATATCCATTAGTTTTATGGACTTTCACTAATTTATAGTTTTATTTGATTCCAGACTGGTAGCATTGAAGGACAAAATGCTATTAAAAACAACCAAAGAGTGTCTCTCAGTGAACAGCAATTGATTGATTGTGCTACCGAATGGAGCTCAGGTTGCATCGGTGGTGAAACGGTGTATGCTTTCCAATACGCCAGCAAGAACGGTCTTGCCAGCGCAGCTGAATACCCATACGAAGCTAAAAACAATAACTGCAAAGAAAATAGTGGTTCGGTCGTTAAAGTTAAAGAAGCAGTGGCTGTTGATCCTACAGAATCTGCCCTTAAAGAGGCTGTTGGTAAGTACGAATTAGCGACCATACTTCATATTTGGTATATTAATATTCTTAGCTTTGTGATTCTACTTTTCTGTCGCTCGATTTAAAATAGATAAAATATATTGAATGTATTTTTTTTTTAATTTTTAAGATTTTTAGCTACATAAGTTACAGGTAATACAGGTCATCCACTTATTCTGTAAGTAATTTCCCAATATGTTTTTATTTGCATTAGGTCTCCATTTCTCTTTCTTTCTCTATCCGTACAAGATGTTTGGAAAGATTTAAGTAAGCTATAAAAATGCATTTCTAAATTTCCTCTCATGAAGAGTTTTTTCTAGACTTGACACTTATCAAAAATAGCAATTGCATTGATTTTTTAATAAATATGAACCCTACACAAACAGATCACTTAATAACATTCAACTCAAATCGCCCCTTTTAACATAAAATGTCAACTCTCTCTTGTTATGTATACAAACTAATCAATAGCCCCCTTTCAGGGTTAAATTATAAAAAAGAAACTAACTTACTTAAACAATTAGCTTCTAACAACGGGTTCTCACCAGACAGTAGTTAATATGATCAAGTGAGTTTTTACTACAAATAGGATGAATCTAGTATATCCTAACAACGATGAAGTAATATAACATCACCTAGCACTTGCCCAAAACACTTTGTCAATCACCTGAATAAATACTTGCAAAATAACAATTAATAATAACAAACATCTACAAATCTTAACTGGTGACATTAATATTAATTTATTGGATGAAAATAACTTAGATATAGAAGAATATAATAGTATATTACATAACGAAAGTTGTAAGGAGCTTATTACATGCGGGTAAAAAAGTTGCGAGCGAGCCGCATAGCGGCGAGCGCAGTAATTTTATGAGCATGTAATAAGCTTACAACTCTAGTTGTGTACTATACTTTTTCTACGACTATTTTAATTTATAAAAATAAAAAGCATAACAAGTAACTTTATTTCACAAAATTCTGGAACAATTTAAATTAAACATTTATTTGTAATAATTAATTGTAACATTTTGGCAATTATTTATAACTATTCCCTTACGCGGTGAATGGTGGGATGACGTAAACTGTACGGTGTGTTCTTCAACATTTTGGCAATTATTTTTAACTATTCCCTTACGCGGTGAATGGTGGGATGACGTAAACTGTACGGTGTGTTCTTCTTGGACATTGGTATTTTCAGCATATGTAAAGGTTTGTAGATTATTTTCAATTGAATTTATAATTCTATTGGCTGTTGACGTCTTATTATTAATTGACTCATCGACATATCCTTCGGCTGTTGTTGAAGATTTCCATTCGTCATGTCGTTTAAGAGCCATTAGATCACCACCGGCATCAACCAAAAGAGTGGCAGAAGTTCGTCTTAAACAGTGACCTGTATTCATTTTGGGACCTGGCAACTTTAAATATACGGCTATTTGTTTAGGAACACCACCTATTTTGTTTAATCCTACCACTTGTTTCGTACCTTTACCATTTTGATAGTTGAGGAAAAATTGATTTATTTGCGGATCGCTAATTTATTGCCGAATCTCTATATATTGTTTGCAGATTTTATAGAATTTTCCGGAAATTACGAAAGATCTACATACTTTGGTTTTCGTATCAGGGATTTTAACCAATAATATGGTACTTAAATCATCGATATCACTAATTTTAATATTTTTTAATTCTTGTTTCCTACAAGCTCCACATATTCCAACAATTGCAATAACCTTAAAAAAAATAATATAAGTATAGATTTATGTTATAGGTACTATTAAATAACATACCTTTGTTATTAAATATTGCTTTATTTAAAAAAAGTTTTATCTGATCAGCACGTAAAATTTTAGATTTTTTGTTTTTAAAACCTTCTGACTGTCTTTTCAAGTAAGCTCGCAATTTCGGATAATTTTCAATGTTTACATTATTTTTCAAAGTTATAACACTTCTTAACATAGAATATATTGTCCATAATGAGGACGGTTTAAATTTTTTAGAGATTTCTCCAAAATAAGACAAGAGTACGTTTTCAGAAAATGATTTTATATTATTTGTTGTATGCCAATCCATAAATTGCTGATATACCTTTTTATATCTTCCTTTTGATTTTTCTGGTAATAGGTTATTGGTAGTGTTCGCAGCTAACTGAATAATATTGGGTGGTGTGCTACTAAATTCATCTTCACTATCCGATGAATTCATTTTACTTTTTAACCGACTTCAAAAAAGGAGGAGGTTCTAAATTCGTCGCGATATTTTTTTTCTATTTAAATTATTTGTACATTTACATTGACAGCTTGTATTAATAATTTAATTCTGTCAAAATAATGGCAACTGACTTACAAGGCTTATGTGATACATTATATTTTCATGGAACTGAAGCGTAATTTTTTGTATCTACTCCTATTAATTTATATATTAATTATTCAACTGCTTTTGAGCAATTAATAGTATCAATAAACAAACAGCGTGAGTTTTAATAGTGAGTTATTATAACTCACGCTGGGCTCCTATGATAATTCGGCATATAAATAGTATGCGCAGTAAATTCTTGGAAATTTTAAAGTCGATGAATGTTCCATTGGCGTAAAATGTTAGAAAACTTTTTTAACAACTGGAAAGGAATAAATAATAATTTAAAGATTTTAAAATTATTAAATTGTCAACGCCTCTCAGTAGGCGGAACAGTAAATTATTACGTTGATGGGAATAATGTCATTTGATATTTTAATAAGATAATTTTGACGTTTTCAAATCAATTTCTAATAATAGTGCTAAAAAAAGATGAATTTAGATAATGAAGATGAGTTATTATGTACACCTCCAGAAATAAGAGAAACAGATAATAATGCGGTACAGAATTTATTATCAGAAAAATCAAAAAACAAGTATAAAGGTGTATACTAAAATTTTCAAGATTGGTGTAACTCGTTTACAGAAAATGTACCTTTGGCATATTTTAATGAACTTAGCAATAAATATAAATCATCGCCTTTATGGACTTTCTACTCCTTGCTAAGAAGCACAATCAACATAAATAATGGAATAAATATAGAGAATTATTCAAAATTACGTGCGTTTCTTAAACGTCAATCAGAAAAACATATAGCTTAAAAGGCAAAAACATTTACGCCAGAACAACTTAATAATTTCATAAATAAAGCTCCTGATGAGAAATATCTGGAGACAAAGGTGATAGCTTTTACAAAGATTTAAGCGTTTTTAACATAAAGTCAATTATATAATTCTTTCTCGATACTTGTATCTTAGTATTTATTGGTACAGTCGTAGATAAAGTATAGTATTCAACTTGCGGTAATGGTCATAACTTCATCTGCGTGAGTTATGACCTGCATTACAGCTGGTTAAATAATATACTATTATTACGTGCTAGTCATTACGAGTTATTAACTGTAATGACATATTTACTTAGCATTCAAATAGTAGGTAATGGGCAATTTACTAGTAAGGGAGTAGAAAAAAATATTTTAAATTCACAGGATTATGTATCGTACATAGATGAATTTACTCGACCAGAGAGTCGTACTTGCTTAGACTATTTTTTTCGTAAAAAATCATATATTACCAACAACTTTAATTAGGTCATTTATCTTTAGATATGATCTGACCATTGAGGAATGGACCTGACAGATCACTCTCCCATTGCATTGTTACTATTTCATGATACACTTATCACTAATACAAATAAAAATAAGTATAAAGAATTTATAAAATACCAAAAATTAAAAAATAGTCTTCTACCTGAAATATGGTATGATGCGAACTATGAAAAAATATTGATATGATACTCGAAAACTTTATTCACAAAATAAAATTTTATTTCACAAAAAGAACAAGAATTAAACAAAACAATAAAAACAACAACAAAAAGCCATGGATAAGGGGTGGGTGGCTCAGTGGTAGAGTCTCTGCCTATAGATCCAAGGGTCCCAGGTTCGAATCCCACCATTGGCCGGGATTTTTTTATTTAATTTAATTATTTAAAATTAATTCTGATGCATTGGTAGGATTCCCCACTCGACCATTCACTGTTGGGTTCTAATTAACAGTGCTGTTTCTAAAGTAGTGCTGGGAAACAATAACAAAGCCTACACAGAACACGAGGCTAATGACCTTAGCAGTCGATGCCGATGACACCAAATTATAAAAAGAAAAAAAAAGCCATTGATAACTAGAGGTCTCCTTAAATCAATAAACAAAAAAAATAAATTATACATAAAAATAAAAAAAATAATTCCAATAATATACATTTAAAACAAAATCTTTAAAAATAAATTATTAAAGTCGGTCAAAAAAAGTAAGAAAGAATATTCAAAAAGTCATAAAAAATTAAAATAATTCATTACGGAACGTTTGGGATTGCGTAAATAAAATTTGCAATAAAAAACAAAATAAAACAGGAATCGAGAAAATTGTACACAAGAATAAAATAATAATGAATAAACTAGACATTTCAAATGCTTTTAATACCTATTTTAGTGAGACTGGAGAAGTTTTAGCAAGCAGCATTGAACCACCTCTTGATTTTTTGAAGACTTTGAAATTACACAAAATACAATTTACTTATTTTTAACTAATATCACTAAAGTATTTAACACCATTCATACATTAAAAAATTAAAAATCGCCTTGGCTGATAATATAAGAGCCGAAACGTTTATAAACCAATATCATATGAAATAAAGGAACCATTTACCTATATCATTTATTAATAAAATATTCGAAACAGGAATTTTACCTCAATTACTTAAGACAGGAATGATTAAACCTTTATATATAAAGGTGGGGATAAAAGTGAAATATCAAATTACAGACCTGTATCATTAATTTCTAATATTTTGAAAATTATAGAAATAATTTTAAATTTCCGAATAACAAGTTTTTTGAAAGCCAACGATATAATCAGTGACAAACAGTATGCCTTTAGAGAAAGTAAGCCAACAGAAGATGCAAATTTAAAATTACATTCAGCAATATATAATGTACTTGACAAAAGAACACCCTTTTGCATATTTATAGACCTTTCTAAAGCATTTGATATCGTTTGTCATAAAAAACTGTTACATAAGCTTTATTCGTATGGTATAAGAGGAAAAACTTATAGTAATAAAAAATTACTTAACTGATAGAACTCAACCGGTTTCAATAGACAATGTTGTCAGCAAACAAAAAAATGTTGTATATGGTGTTCCTCAAGGAACAGTTTTAGGGCCCATCCTGTTTACTTTATATATTAACAGCTTATTAAAAATGAAAACAAGAGTATAATTAGTTTCACCGATGACACTGCTATTTTATATAAAGAACAATCATGGCAGTTACTAAAACAAAAGACAGACAGAAAATAAAAAATTGGTTTGAATATAATCTACTCACTTTTAACATTAAAAAAACCAAATGCCTTCCTTTATCATCCTGCTTTTAAATGTTTTTTCTTTTCTTTTGACCTTTTCGATCTTTCCTTACGTTAAACTCATTGCATTTTCGATTATTTTAACTTTCGATCAAATGAATTTTCGACCATTTATATTTTGGATATTTTTTTACTTTCGACTATTTATAATTTTGATCAGTTTAACTCCATCATTTTTTCCTTCGACCTTTTGACTTTCGAAATCGGTACACCATCATATACATCCATTTCATACTATGTTTTTCTTTACTATTTTATGTTATTTCCTGGTATTATGTTCCAATCTGTCTATAAATCAATATTATTTATTTTACAGGTACCGTTGGACCAATATCTGTAACTATCTACGCTGGACCTCTACAATTCTACAAAAATGGTATCTTGGAAACTCCCGATTGCTTCAACGATGGGTACTTATTGAACCACTCTGTCCTGGTTGTAGGATATGGAAACGAGGATGGCAAGAAATACTGGATCGTCAAGAACTCATGGGGCGCCGAATGGGGTGACGAAGGTTACTTTAGATTGGCCAGAGATGCTGATCAATGTGGTATCGCTCTTGATCCAGTTTATCCAATTTTAGCCTAAATTATTGACCGAATTTGTGCAATTTTGCAAACTATAACATTTTAATAAATAAACTATTTAATGTAACTCAATGCCTTTAAATTTCCAAACAAAGCAACATCCAAACTTATTACTGTTTAATAAATAAAACTTATATAAAATTTAAATCTTTTAGAAAACATAATCTTTTTAATCGTATTACAACTATAGAGGTGTTCATTTAAAAAGTTCCAACACATCTATTTAATTTTCAAGGGGTTATTAATATTTTTATAGCCCCCGTAGTTCCCCCCTGCAGGGGTAGAATTATAAATCGGACGAGAGTCAAGTGACAAATCAGTTAAAAGTATTTTATGGATAATTTGGAAATATGACTAATCATTGTGTTACTTGTTATTTTAGCGCCCTCTAGCAGGATAAAAAACTTACATATTGTAAAGTATAACTCTTCTTTTAAAAGCTAATTTGACTTAAAACTCTTAAAGCCGTTAAAGCTGTTAAAGCTGTTAAAGCTGTTAAAGCTGTTAAAGCTGTTAAAGCTGTTAAAGCTGTTAAAGCTGTTAAAGCTGTTAAAGCTGTTAAAGCTGTTAAAGCTGTTAAAGCTGTTAAAGCTGTTAAAGCTGTTAAAGCTGTTAAAGCTGTTAAAGCTGTTAAAGCTGTTAAAGCTGTTAAAGCTGTTAAAGCTGTTAAAGCAGTTAAAGCTGTTAAAGCTGTTAAAGCTGTTAAAGCTGTTAAAGTCGTTAAAGCCGTTAAAACTGTTAAAGTTAATGAAGATGTTAAAGTTGTTAAAGCTGTTAAATCTATTACAGCTGTTAAAATTGTAGTAGAAAGTAGGATAATTGTGACTTATTATCATGCAATTGTGAGTTATTTTGCCTTAACATATCTGATTAAAATGGTGAGCTTTGGTCAATGTTTCGTGAAATAACAGTGAAGTGATTCTCCATTCTCGAGCTTGTAGTAGCTTCAGATGAGTTTTGAGTTTAAACAAATGTATAATTCATTAAGTTGTTTTACAATTTTAACCATCTTATAAGATATTTGCAACACTAGACGATGGATTCAAGATCAAGAAATAATCTTATTATACACTATTTTTTTAAATGGATGTAATTATAGTGAAATTCGAAACATACTAAAAGAGAGTTTTCAACAAATATATCAAAACGACAACTAAAGAGGATTTTAAACAAAAATAAATTGTTTAGAAAAAAATATTTCAGTGGAGCTGATATTTTAGTAAATTTTATAGACCATCAGTTACAAAATTCTCCATGGCTATAGATGGGTGCATTTGAAATGCGTTCAAAATGGTTTCTCTGTTTCGCAGAATATGATTATTACAAAACTTAGATCCTTCTGGAGTAGAACTAAGAACAAGACGAAGACTGCATAGAAGGCAATATAATAATACTGGTTCCAATTTTTTATGGCATCTTGACCCATATGATAAATTAAAACCATATGGTATATGAATAAATGGCGCTATTGATACTCGAGGTTAATCATTTGGTTGAAAGCATCTCCGAATACGAATGATCCAAAACTAATTGCAGGTGGGTAAAAAGGAACACTAGGAAAAATTGTATATATTTTTCAGTAATTACTGGATGCAATTTTTGTTTTAGGATTTTTTCTTAAGAATATTGAAAAATATGGTGGATGTCCAAGAAGAATTAGATCCGATATGGGTACTGAAAATGGAACTGTAGAACAAATGTAAAAAATTTTGAGAAGAACTGCTGTTAAAAATGAAGATCAATTTTTATATGATATCAGTTTTATCTATGGAACCAGTCAGTGTAATCAACGCATCAAGTCTTGGTGGGGTATACTAAGGAAACACTGTTCGCTCAAAGAAAGTGGACATTTTTCTGGATACTTCCTGGATAAGGGATTAATGCAGTTTTGTTTCATGAATATAATTCAAGTAAGTACCTATACATTCTCAAATATTATGCCAAAATCATATATAATTTCAGCTATAGGTATTTCAAAATAATAATAAAAATAATAATGACAATAATAATATTAATAATACGCATTAATTGAAACTCAGGAATAGGTGAGGAATGCTCAGAGTTGCCATGTGCAGTATCTTTAAATAAAAAGTTTCAACTTACAAATTGTGCCAATAAACTCCTTAAAATGTATTATTGTTGACTTAATGAAAAATGAGCATTTTTTACAATTTTATTATGGATTTAAAATTCAAATTCTTTTTACTTTCCTATCTGTATACAGATAAGGAAAGTATAGGAATTATGATTTTTTTCGACCTCCAGTTTTCGACAGATTTTTACGTTTCGGGGTCCCCTGAATCCGTTTTGACTATTTTCGGAATGATGTGTGTGTGTGTGTGTGTGTGTGTGTGTGTGTGTGTGTGTGTGTGTGTGTGTGTGTGTGTGTGTGTGTGTGTGTGTGTGTGTGTGTGTGTGTGTGTGTGTGTGTGTGTGTGTGTGTGTGTGTGTGTGTGTGTGTGTGTGTGTGTGTGTGTGTGTGTGTGTGTGTGTGTGTGTGTGTGTGTGTGTGTGTGTGTGTGTGTGTGTGTGTGTGTGTGTGTGTGTGTGTGTGTGTGTGTGTGTGTGTGTGTGTGTGTGTGTGTGTGTGTGTGTGTGTGTGTGTGTGTGTGTGTGTGTGTGTGTGTGTGTGTGTGTGTGTGTGTGTGTGTGTGTGTGTGTGTGTGTGTGTGTGTGTGTGTGTGTGTGTGTGTGTGTGTGTGTGTGTGTGTGTGTGTGTGTGTGTGTGTGTGTGTGTGTGTGTGTGTGTGTGTGTGTGTGTGTGTGTGTGTGTGTGTGTGTGTGTGTGTGTGTGTGTGTGTGTGTGTGTGTGTGTGTGTGTGTGTGTGTGTGTGTGTGTGTGTGTGTGTGTGTGTGTGTGTGTGTGTGTGTGTGTGTGTGTGTGTGTGTGTGTGTGTGTGTGTGTGTGTGTGTGTGTGTGTGTGTGTGTGTGTGTGTGTGTGTGTGTGTGTGTGTGTGTGTGTGTGTGTGTGTGTGTGTGTGTGTGTGTGTGTGTGTGTGTGTGTGTGTGTGTGTGTGTGTGTGTGTGTGTGTGTGTGTGTGTGTGTGTGTGTGTGTGTGTGTGTGTGTGTGTGTGTGTGTGTGTGTGTGTGTGTGTGTGTGTGTGTGTGTGTGTGTGTGTGTGTGTGTGTGTGTGTGTGTGTGTCTGTGTGTCTGTGTGTCTGTGTGTCTGTGTGTCTGTGTGTCTGTGTGTCTGTGTGTCTGTGTGTCTGTGTGTCTGTGTGTCTGTGTGTCTGTGTGTCTGTGTGTCTGTGTGTCTGTGTGTCTGTGTGTCTGTGTGTCTGTGTGTCTGTGTGTCTGTGTGTCTGTGTGTCTGTGTGTCTGTGTGTCTGTGTGTCTGTGTGTCTGTGTGTCAGTGTGTCAGTGTGTCAGTGTGTCAGTGTGTCAGTGTGTCAGTGTGTCAGTGTGTCAGTGTGTCAGTGTGTGTGTCTGTATCCACCATAACTCATGAACCTATACAAAGAAAAACACCAAATTTTAAACTTAAGCTTTATTCCAGCCTGCGGTGAACTGATTAGATTTTGGGCAGAGTCGGAACATTTGGAGGGGTACTTTATTGGTGGTCATTTGGAGAAGAAAATTCTTCAAATAAAAGTTACTTATAATATTATTATCTATAATTTTTGTTCCATACAAAGTTTTCCTAAAATGGTCCGTATTCGAGAAATTTGACAAAATGTAAAAAAATTATTTTTTTATAAAAATTGTTCAGATAAAAGTTGTTTGTAATATAATTCTCTATAATTTTTATGTCAAACATAATTTCTCTAAAATGGACCGTATTCGAGATATTTGAGAAAATGTATAAATTTCGAATTTTGAAGAAAACTCAAAAACGGATAAAGGAAAAAACATTAAATTGTAAACTTAAGTTTTATTTCGGCCTGAGGTGAAATTATTAAATTTTGGACAATGGCGGAACATATGGGGGGGGGTACTTTATGGGAGGCCGTTTTTATATTTTATGGAATATATCTGGTATTTATGTTTGGAGAAGAAAATTGCTTAAATACAAGTTACTTCTAATATTATTATCTATAATTTTTGGTTGATGTCAAATTTCGAGTTAGATGTATGTGGAAAATGTATATATTTAGTTTATCCTCCAAACACTTATAGAGGTGCTGCAATAGGTTGTACAATATAACCGGAAAAAGCCTATAATAACTAGATAGGAATGTCATGTGTTGGACACATCAGATTTTTATATTTTATGGAATATGTCTGTTATTTACGTTTGGGGAAGAAAATTCTTAAAATAAAAGTTACTTCTTATATTATTTTCTATAATTTTTGGTCTATACAAAATTTTCCTGAAATTGTCCGTATTCGAGAAATTTGACAAAATGTGCAAAATTCTGATTTTTATGAAAATTGTTGAACTAAAAGTTGTTTGCGATAACTATCTCTATAATTTTTGTTTATACATGATTTTTCTAAAATGGACTGTAATGGGAAAATTATAGGAAAAGTGCTAAATTTAAATTTGTCAGTATTTTCGTTTTCAATGAATATCTATAGAAATATGTTTCGAGGTAGATGTATGTGGAAAATGTATATATTTAGTTTATCCTCTAAACATTTATAGAGGTGCTGCAATAGGTTGTACAAAATAACCGGGAAAAGCCTATAATAACTAGATAGGAAAGTCATGTGTTGGACACATCAGATTTTTTACTTTCCTATATGTATACAGATATAAGGAAAGTACAGGAATCATGATTTTTTTCGACCTCCAGTTTTCGACAGATTTTTACGTTTCGGGGTCCCCTGAATCCGTTTTGACTATTTTCGGAATGATGTCTCTGTGTGTGTGTGTGTGTGTGTGTGTGTGTGTGTGTGTGTGTGTGTGTGTGTGTGTGTGTGTGTGTGTGTGTGTGTGTGTGTGTGTGTGTGTGTGTGTGTGTGTGTGTGTGTGTGTGTGTGTGTGTGTGTGTGTGTGTGTGTGTGTGTGTGTGTGTGTGTGTGTGTGTGTGTGTGTGTGTGTGTGTGTGTGTGTGTGTGTGTGTGTGTGTGTGTGTGTGTGTGTGTGTGTGTGTGTGTGTGTGTGTGTGTGTGTGTGTGTGTGTGTGTGTGTGTGTGTGTGTGTGTGTGTGTGTGTGTGTGTGTGTGTGTGTGTGTGTGTGTGTGTGTGTGTGTGTGTGTGTGTGTGTGTGTGTGTGTGTGTGTGTGTGTGTGTGTGTGTGTGTGTGTGTGTGTGTGTGTGTGTGTGTGTGTGTGTGTGTGTGTGTGTGTGTGTGTGTGTGTGTGTGTGTGTGTGTGTGTGTGTGTGTGTGTGTGTGTGTGTGTGTGTGTGTGTGTGTGTGTGTGTGTGTGTGTGTGTGTGTGTGTGTGTGTGTGTGTGTGTGTGTGTGTGTGTGTGTGTGTGTGTGTGTGTGTGTGTGTGTGTGTGTGTGTGTGTGTGTGTGTGTGTGTGTGTGTGTGTGTGTGTGTGTGTGTGTGTGTGTGTGTGTGTGTGTGTGTGTGTGTGTGTGTGTGTGTGTGTGTGTGTGTGTGTGTGTGTGTGTGTGTGTGTGTGTGTGTGTGTGTGTGTGTGTGTGTGTGTGTGTGTGTGTGTGTGTGTGTGTGTGTGTGTGTGTGTGTGTGTGTGTGTGTGTGTGTGTATGTGTGTGTGTCTGTGTGTCTGTGTGTCTGTGTGTCTGTGTGTCTGTGTGTCTGTGTGTCTGTGTGTCTGTGTGTCTGTGTGTCTGTGTGTCTGTGTGTCTGTGTGTCTGTGTGTCTGTGTGTCAGTGTGTCAGTGTGTCAGTGTGTGTGTCTGTATCCACCATAACTCATGAACCTATACAAAGAAAAACACCAAATTTTAAACTTAAGCTTTATTCCAGCCTGCGGTGAACTGATTAGATTTTGGGCAGAGTCGGAACATTTGGAGGGGTACTTTATTGGTGGTCATTTGGAGAAGAAAATTCTTCAAATAAAAGTTACTTATAATATTATTATCTATAATTTTTGTTCCATACAAAGTTTTCCTAAAATGGTCCGTATTCGAGAAATTTGACAAAATGTAAAAAAATTATTTTTTTATAAAAATTGTTCAGATAAAAGTTGTTTGTAATATAATTCTCTATAATTTTTATGTCAAACATAATTTCTCTAAAATGGACCGTATTCGAGATATTTGAGAAAATGTATAAATTTCGAATTTTGAAGAAAACTCAAAAACGGATAAAGGAAAAAACATTAAATTGTAAACTTAAGTTTTATTTCGGCCTGAGGTGAAATTATTAAATTTTGGACAATGGCGGAACATATGGGGGGGGGGGGTACTTTATGGGAGGCCGTTTTTATATTTTATGGAATATATCTGGTATTTATGTTTGGAGAAGAAAATTGCTTAAATACAAGTTACTTCTAATATTATTATCTATAATTTTTGGTTGATGTCAAATTTCGAGTTAGATGTATGTGGAAAATGTATATATTTAGTTTATCCTCCAAACACTTATAGAGGTGCTGCAATAGGTTGTACAATATAACCGGAAAAAGCCTATAATAACTAGATAGGAATGTCATGTGTTGGACACATCAGATTTTTATATTTTATGGAATATGTCTGTTATTTACGTTTGGGGAAGAAAATTCTTAAAATAAAAGTTACTTCTTATATTATTTTCTATAATTTTTGGTCTATACAAAATTTTCCTGAAATTGTCCGTATTCGAGAAATTTGACAAAATGTGCAAAATTCTGAT